CTGTACAGCTGCCAAAATGTTAAGCTTTATAATCCTTTAAATAGTATTCATATAATGTCAAGAGTATACGTAAAATAATCTCAAGGTAATAAAAAAACCTAACAATATACAAGAAATAACTTGAAATTAAGATCAAATTTATAATTAAAAATTAACGTGAACTTTGGCAAATGGAAAGATTGAAGAGCAAATGTACTCTTGATCGATCTAGCGATCTTTTAAAATGCTTGTGCCATCAATAACAGATTATATTCAAATTACAGAATTACTAAAATTTATAAAAAATATAAATTAGTTTTTAATATAGTGATAATAATATATTAGTTAAATGATCTATCTAATATAAGGCTTCATTTAACTGTATAACCTTTACTCGTAATGGTTAGTAATAAAAATATACGTCCTCTGTAAGTCTATGGGTAGACAAGCTAAAATATAATGAATTTTTAATCTTCAAATTATACAATTCCGTCTGGTACGGTCAATAATTCAGACGATAATAGTCTGGCGAAGGTCTTTGTTTACATTCTTTATGTTTGTGTAAAAAAATATTCAACACTAGTTTTTGCCCGCGACTTCGTCCGCGTTAGTTTGGTCAAGAGTAATATATGTAGACCGTATAGCTGACCAGTCGAACTCTATTCCATCTTACAGGCCATAAATAATCAGGTTTTTCCTGTTTCAATCAAACAGAATTGACATATTAGTTAGTTGTCAGATCTAATGTCAAAAAAACTTTTGTATGGGAAATAGAAAAGGGCTGTTTTTATGGTTTTCCCAGTAATGAATCAATTTTTTCTCACCTTTTAAACCTTCCCTGGACTTCCAGGAGTATTTCAAGACTAAAATTAGCCAAATCGGTTCAGCCGTTCTCGAGTTTTAGCGAGACTAAGGAACAGCAATCCATTTTTATATATATATAGAAGATAATGAAATAAACAACAACCAATAACCATTATAAAAATAACCATTTAACTTTCCAACTTCAAGTGAGTCACTTAAAATACGATAATGTGTCATACTTTTCCCACGTGTCTAGACCGTTATTTGAGACATGAAGTCTCTTAGACTACTCGGGTAAATCCAAACTATGATTATTTACACTACGAACTACGCTAGTCCAGTTGACCGACAAACCTTGACCACTAATAACATTTCCTTTTCAACTACAAGATACACATTTATCTATAGATACCACCAACTAGTATTTGTTCCTGAAATTGTTATGACACATAGTTTTACTTTCTTAGTGAGAATAAAAATACCTAAGTCCTTCTTCTTACATAAACTCACTGCATTTCTTATCTTTAATAAACCTCAAAGGTTACGTTATAAAAGTTTAGTTTTTATTATAAATAACAGGTAAATAACTGAATAAATAATAGTTATAAAGTCATTATCCTGTCCATTTTTCCATGGTACAAAATCCATATTGCGTTATGTGTTGAGCGAATATTTAGTGCAAAATATATGAGACAATTTATTTGAGATGTGGCAATAAAGAGGAAACCATAAAATATGTGCTACAAAACCGATTATAAACTTAAGTTACGACATCCGTAAATATACTGATTATATGCCATTTTTAACAGTACATTATATACCAATTTTAACAGTAAATTATATTCTCTTTTATAAAAGGGATAAGTAAATGTCAAAGTTTTTAAATCGCTCAAAGGATAAAAAATCTAATCACGACGTTGCCCTTTTAAATCCGAATAGGATTAAATGTTATCTTTGTGAACTTCAAAAAGTAAATGTAAAGTAGGTTTAATCACTGAGTGTTTTATGAAATTTTGTTAATAGGGTTTTATATTCAACTAGTTTATTAAATTAATGAGATCGAAAACTTTCGCGAGTATTCATTTAAATAAAATTAATATAAATATCAATATTAATAAAATACACTGTATTTTGTTATTTTGAACTAAATACTCTTGACTTTCGGCTAGTTTTCAGTAACCGGGATCATTGGCAGACGAGATGAGAAAAATATTAGTTTTATTTAGCTTGTTAACTTTTAACTAAATGTGTGAAGGTGTTCATATACACATAAATAAACATTTCATTGTGAATGTCAGTATCTCTGAACTTGGATCAGATATAAGATTTTCATGATTTCTGCGGATTATAATTAACAAACATAAATTCACTTTACCTATGTCCTTCTGTCCGCAATTAACTCGATACCGTTCGATGAGAACAATCATAGAATATTTATAGTACATAAAGTAATCCGCCCAATAAAATATATATGAAAAAATTTAAGGATGGATGTTAATGATTACATATGTTTATTTTTATTAACAGCTATAGTACTAATAAATAAAATAAGAAATTATTTTAGCATTACCTTATCGTTAAAAAATAGACATATTTATAGTATTTATGTCAAGTTGATACTGTATCATCAATGAGATTTTTATTAAACATTACTGTATATCTTCCTTGACATAATTATTTTATAGACCCATATAAATATATTTATGAATTATAAAACAAAGAAGTTAATTAAGAACATCGTGTATGTCTATAGAATTAAACTCAGAATTATTGTCTTTCCGTGACACTTAATATTTGTGTCAAATAAAAATAATTACATACATATTTGTGACTGAATTAAAGTGTGTCGTATATATTAATAATAGATATAATTAGTTTCTATAAAAAAATATAAGGTTCTAAACAATTTTGAATCAAAATAACTTATAATAATAGTCAATATAACTATACTAATAAATTAATTATAATTATTTAAAATGTGTATATTAAAGCGAAGAAAAATGATCATTTTAAAAGTCTCCTGAACTTGTTTATGAGAAGACGATGATACCGGTTTTAAGACCGGTATGTAACCAAGTATGAGGTTATCACAAAATTCGCGATACCTTGACGGAATGTCGTCTCCAATAATTGTTATTGTATCAGAAATATATTAAAGTATACGTGTTTAAGTGATCTAAAAGGTATTATAAATATATTATTGTATAATCATTATCAAAGCTCATACGCTACAGAAATGCTTTTCAATTGTGTTGATAAATCCTCATAAGGTAATATATATATATATGAATTATTTATTAAATATTTAAAAAAAATATGTGGATGTAGGATTTATCTTCGAATTCGTTCATTGGTTTAAGTACAACAATACATTTTTTTTATATGATTTATAAGTTTAATACATGCCAGTCAGTATTTTTCTATAAATAAATAACGTATATACCTTGCTCCATCTATCATACGAATATACTATATGAAGATGTCATCCATACTTTGAAACACTAATTTTAATTCTAAGCACGTACAAACGAAAACTTATCCGCATTGAATTAATGTGTCATGTGTCAAAGGTGGTGTCATTTTGACTTAATGAGTGACGAACACTCGCATATTTATACGTATATGACGCAGAAAAAACTCAGATTGATATTATATAACGACTGACTGTACTTTATATTTATTATGTAGTTATAGTTGTCTTTATTTATCTGGTTCGTTGACCTGCGGGTGAGTCGATCAGGTGAAACGAAATAAGCTGTAAAAACGTCATATAAAAAAAGGTTTTCTTTGTACACTTTGTCTTTGTATTTAATGATAGTAGATTTGACATAATAAACCCAATGCTAGCTAGAAGATACATTTATGCATCAATATATTTAGTGTTATTTGTCACAACAAAGGTTCACATGTAAAAATTTTTAATTTTTAGATTATGATTGATATTTTTACCTAATATTTTTTCGAGTATTCTTTTAAACGAAATTGTAATTTTTCGAATTAACTTTATTTACTTTTTATAAGACATACTACCGACGTTTTGGTTACTTCACAACAAATATTACGCACAGGCGAGAATTCATCACATCTATTGTGAAAAAATATTCATAAAACGCGTACAAAATTTAAAAATAATAGTTATTGATTGTTTTTCAGGTCTAAGAAGATCTGTTATCTGTACTTTTTTCGAGTAAATAGACCAAAGTCTCGTTTTTCTCCTTTCTCTTTAATTAAAAATAAAAACCTGTCCATAATTTTATATCACTTTTAAAGTCAAAATGAGGCTTTATAATTTTTGATGTCAAAATAAATTAAACACACGCGATGTATTTGAAATCGTCATAAAATATTTTTATGAGTGAAAAGATTAGGCATAAAAGTTAATTATTGCAGAATATTTCTTTCTTTATATTTTTATGGGTTTATTGGAGAAATTAAATGTATAATTGTGTGAGGTTGTTGTGCTCCTTTGTTTCTTATACAGCATCTGGTGGAAATTTCACTTTACCTACTAAAAAATAACTTTGATTATACATATTCTCCATGTCCTTTTTTAAACGCATCATACTCTTAAAGTAATAATAAAAAAGGCATCGTAAATAACATTGTAAGCAATTTTTACAGAGCTTATTAATCATACCATAGAAAGCATTTCTCGTTTACCTCGAATTTTAAAAGGTAAAAAGAAAGAATGAGAAAGTTACGATCCCTCAAATAAGGAAATTTTTGACAATTTGCTTTTACTTGCGATTGTATCACAAATATTCCTTTACTCCTGTCATATTTTTCTTTACAATTATAGAAAGTATTTTTTTTAAATTGCCACCACATGTAAATAATATTTCCATTTTTATCCGAAAAATAACCAACGCTTAATAACCTAAAAGTTCTTTTGAATCGTAATGTTCCAAATATGAGACCGTTGCTATGATTGTCTCAAGACAATAGAAATAGGAACGTCAAGAAACTTCTACCTACAACCATTTTTGTCTCATGCTCCATATAGAGCTAGTGTGAGATTATTATGTAGTTCTTATTATGTACTCATACCGACAACCACTATAGAAAACATCTTTTAAAATTTTATGTTATTTTTTTCGTTATTGTTAAATTTCCATTTCTAACTTGGATCTAAACTAAATGTACGCATCTTTTACATGCATTTATTTATAACTATCAAAATATTTACAAAGCACTAATTGAATTGTATTTAATTTCAGATGCCGAATCTTCTGTCTATACTGATAAGTCTGGTAGCTTTTCACACATCGACCATCGCTGCACCTAATCAGAATAAACACTCGGTCATAAATGAAAACCTTGAAGATGTCTCTGCATTCGATAATCCATTTGAACTATCGGATAGCAGTAACAATGATCCTTCTTCAATAATCGAACGTGAAAAACGATTTTTTGATAATATTTTCCCAACAATTGATTTAGTTAATCGAAGACAACACCAATATCAAAGTTATGATGGATATACGAATTCAGAATACAATAGAAATACTGGCGTAAGCGGTGGAGGCTTGGAATCATTCTTGAGAAACCCTTACGATCTCTGGCTAGACTTGTTATCTAATCGACGATCTCCGCCTATTGTTCTTCCAATTTTCATTCAACCAGTTACATGTGTATGTCCTGGAGTAAACTCTAATTCGCCGCCGGCTAAAGAGAAAGAACCAGTACCGCCTTCCACTAATGGACCGCCAAGTGACGGTGATAATCAACCAGATTTAACGAACAGGTTCAATCCTGTATCAGATGAAGATGATGATGGAAGAAGGCCTCTTTCCTTCAAGCCAATTCAACCTAAACAGCCACCGAGTCAAACACCACCACCCTTTGAACATGGCAGTGTCCAAGAAGGTATTGAACCGCCATCCGCAAACAGCCCTTTTTCAGAATCTGAACTAGCCACACCTCAATCGGATTTATCAGCTTCATCACAACCAGAATCACCAGTCGCAATGCCGAGTATCTGCGACGGGGCTATAATATCTTGCTGCTTTCAAAGGAATATAGAAAACTGTTTTGAACGTCAGGGTTGTGGAGAATCTGATTACAGTGACCCATGCCATCCGCCTGTCGTTTTAAAAGTCATAGAAAAGTTTCAAAGTTATTATAAACAAAAAGGAATTGTAAAGACATTCTATTAGTTACTTTATTAGCTAATAACGGATGTGTTCTCTTAGTTCTTTTTGATTTTAGATCAATTAATATTTTGATACAATAAAACAGAACAAAATTAGTTATATGTATGACAAATCGTTAACATATGATTCATGACAATAACTTTGATCACATATAATAACATATTTGTATATAACTCTTACGTGATACTTTGTTCCTAATTATATGTTTAATTATAAACAACAAAACTTGGTAGCTACAATAGAATGTTACTGGTGTAAATAAAATGATACACGTGTTATGTTTGATGCATGATGTAATAATTAATTAATTAAATATATCCTGTGGTTAATTTAATATATGATGTCTGGAGCATAGAAAATTATGCGTATGGGAATATTTATAAGGAAAAAGATCCGTAGCCGTTCATGATAGGACAGTATTTTGTGTTTATTTTATTTTCAGAAGGTATTTAAAATATATATATCTTAAAAGGATAATTAGAAAGAGTTTATTGCAAATATAATGTTATAAAATATATCATTCATAATATTTGAGGTATCTCTGAAATCCACCAATGCAACGGTCAGACAAGCTCAAAGGTAGAACAACAACTGTAAAATTAAACAAGCAGATTAATTCTACGTATAACTATAAATATCAAAAATATCCATCTTATTATATTTTAAGGTGTTAAGTCATAGTAATCGATTATGTAACTCAATAAAATGTTCTTGAATGTTTGTTATTTTATATTTATAAAAATATAATACTCGTTGTTATAAGATAAATAAGTTGCATTTAATACTATTAAAAATTAAGGCAACTTTCATCTTAGTCGTTCGACTAAATGCGAGGTAAACAGTACAGTTAAATGTATATAGTTTTTAGTACAAATATACGCCTAGATAATAAAAAAAATACTTTTCATTTAATTCATCCTATTTTTGATACTTCATTTTGCAGCATTTTCAATCTACGAGACCTGAATACTAACAAAAATTAATATTATATCTTTTTATGCTAAAATAAAGTAATAAATATTCGTTTTGCTGGGTTAAGGAAATATTAAAGTAAAGTAAAATGGGTGTGTCCTTGCGTCATGTACCTATTCTAATTTTCAGAAAAATTTCCTGTTTACATTTTGAAAATCTTTTAATTAATTATTTATTATCTAAATATACAGAATTAATTTATATACAACAATTTTAATAAAAAAATAATACTTGAAATTCTCTATAATAATTATTATATAAAATAAATAAACAGTTTGGTCAGTAAATAAATTTATATTTGAAACACAAATTTATGTTATAATTCAAATGGAACTGTTAGTTTGTTTGTTTAATATTTTGGTTATTTGTTATAGAATTATTAATGTTCCCAATACGTATTTATTTTCAATATTATTCATGTTATTTAGGTATGAAGTACAAATAACTGTTTTTAAATACAAAAAACACAAAAAAATAACATTAGCTACATCCCGTTGAGTAATTTCGTTGTTTATTAATTATATTGTTAAAAAAACATTTTCCTTAAATAATTAACGGAATGTTACGAAATTAACGAATTAAAAGTTTTGATTAAAAAAAAATACCCGTTTATACGGAATTGCTATAATATTTTTAACATTAGCAACGCCTGGTTTCGATTGGCAGACGAATAACGTTCTCACAGACGAGTGCACGCTTGTACGCGGTCTAGTGTCGTTTTAAAATGAAAATAGACTTAATAAACAGTTTTTAATTTAGTTTCAAGTGTTCTATTACTAGGAATATGTAAGTATGCACTGGATGTTTCTGTGATTATTTGCGTATCGCCTTTCAAATATTGTTTATATTTGTAAAACAAATTATAATGTATTTAAATGTTTCAGTCTGTCATATATGCTCTATTCATAACTTTTCAATGTTTAATACTAACTTTTTACGAATATAACATTTATTTACAATAACAATTTCAGTTCAAACCAGTTCCATACATTCGTAGTTATGACGTATGTATATAAAAAAAACATAGTTTTATGAATTGTCTTAATGGTCAAGATTGTTAAGACACTTTAATCCGCTCCGGAAAAACCCAATTCTCTTTAAGCCTGACGCAGTCACAGACTTGTTTTTGTTTGCATCAAGTAGAATGAATGTACTGCCTACAAATGTAAACTATTCACCACTTAAAGTAAATTTTAGACCATTCCGTGTTGTGGATGTTTATCTACAAATAAATTATTCATTTCATTATTATTATAAATAGCGCAAATGTATTAATAAAGTTATGTTTTTGCTTAATATTAAATCCGTCTACAGTTTAAAATGTCGTTAAAGCAATTAAATAAAGTATGATAACGATATTTAAAATAATTGTATAAAATTCCCGAACATAAGAACAAATAATTAATTCTTCAATATCAGTTCGATAAAGTTATATGAATTGGGTTTTTACACTTTGTTTTTTTATGCTTCCAAAAACTGATCTACTTACATGTATACATAAGCCACATATTAAATGGCAGTATATTTTTATACAATACATAACTATATATATAGAAAACTAAGGTTTTTAATGATTAAAATCCGTTGTGTAATAATAAGGACGATTTTATTAGTTATATATGCTTGACTATTCTGTGCTTGCTTTTTGATTCCGCCTTTCACTTACATTGGATAATAATTTATACTGAAAGCTTAGAAAGTTGTAAAACCACTATTTAAAATCTTTCCAACGACCCTTGAGAGTTAAAACAAATTTAACAGAATATATAATTATATGTACTAACGTCTTATATTTTTTCTTCAAAAATAACAGCCAACTTAAATAATATTATAGCCTTTATAATAGACCAAATAAACTATTTATGCTAGCATTGAACTTATTTCTTAAATAATTGTTCAAAATAAAACGAGTTAATACATTTTCTTGTCATGGTTATCCAGTTAATAATTATACGGGTCTTATTTTTCGTTACAAAGCCAAAGTTTTTTTTAACATTTTGTTGTTTTTTTAGAAATGGCGAAGTTCACAGTTTTCGTGGCCGTTGCGCTTCTCGTCATGCAAGTGTACACACGTGATATCAGATCAAACACACCCAGTGCTGGCAACTCTAAAAAGAATATTACCTCTTATATAAAATACAATGAATTAGTATATATACTTGAAACTAGGCATGGCAATCCTGCTAAAAAGCCAACCCGATTGACACCATGTGCCAGAGCGATATTAAGCTGTTGTGAAGAAAAGGTGATTAATGAAGGTTGCTCTGAATCTCTCAAATGTGGAGCCTACTTCTTTGATGACAATCCTTGTGAAGACAAATTCATAATAGACGCTTTGGAAGCAGCGAAACTTTTCTATCAACAATTAGTGGACTAAAATCTTGAAGAGTGTACCTATAGCAGTATTTTGTAGTTACCAAAGAACTGCCGGCAGTACTTTTAATATAGTATATTGTGATACAATCATATTGCTGTTGTGTATGAATAAAAAAAAAACTTAATAGTAAATGGAAATAAATGTATATAAATATATCGACATAACAACTATCATTTATTTTTTATTTCTTTACATTACAAGTATATTTTTATATACTGCTTACATAGCCATTAAATTGTCAGATAAATTTTATTCGACGATTATTCTGTAAAAATAAAAACTAAGTATATATTTTTGAAGCTCTTAGCCAAAGAACGTTTTAAAAGTGTCTTGCAGTTAGCAATATTACTCACGCTCATATTTCCTTTTTTATGTAACTCGTATATTTAAAAATATATATATGAATTAGTCTCATAAATAATCTAATAGTGATTGAGTTTAAATACGTATTGTATTAACATTGTTGCTCACTATTAATAATCCTTCATACTTTGCCATCTTGGTTTTATCTGAGCAGCCGAGTTGGTAAAGTATCTGGCTTGGAGCCAGATAAAAGCAACAAGTGAATTAATGCGCTATAAAATGGATTATATTCTGTATAGTTTGTGTAACATAAATAAATATTTATGAAAATATAATCCAAAGCATATTATTCTTACTTACGTATACACTTTCATGCCAGTTTTTAAATTTCCATTTATTTACTGTAAAATTCATTCGCAACACATTAAAGAATTTCTTAATACGATAACAAAAATAAAATTTAATTTAAATAAACTATATAAAGATATGTGTTTGGGTGATGAAATACATTCATCATACTCTTAAACATTGACAGAATAAGCAGGGTAATATAAATTTGCTTAACCCTCGACACAAAACTTTATAAGTCTGACGTCGATTTTTATATGTGTGTATATCTGTCTGTGGCATTATAACTTTTAGACGAATCAACTGATTTCGATGTAGCTACTTCATTTGAAAACCAGTTTCCTTGGAAGGATCAAATCTACGTCTGGATAATTGTATTGTAGAGTAATAAATCTTTTCCAAATTGATGTAAAGAATGTTTGACCTATGATTACTCGATTAAGTGCTACACATGTGCCAGTGTCATTGGTCGTGAAATGACATTGATACGTAAGGGATTATACAATTTAATAAAATTAAGTAACAAAAGAAGAGGTCAAATCACTAATATTACTACAAATATATTGATTAATAAAAACCTAATTTAAATTAATAAAGGAACGATATAAAATAAATAACATAATAAAGTTAAAAAAGTATCAAATAAAAAACTTTAAAGTCGATAAAAAGTACATATAAGGTGATATGAGTCAAAACAATTCTTTTATAATATAAGGTTACATCAATTTGTTGAAGGCCCTGAAAACCGCTGCAAATAGGATAGTCAATTTACCTTAAAATTATTATTACTAAAGACTTGACTAACGGATATTTAAACACACGAAAACGATAAATGAAAACAAAGTTTGACTAGATAGATTTCGTATGTCAGCAATAAAAAAAATCTTAAATAAATTACTTACTTAAGTTGGCAATGTCGTTGGCTGTAAAAGTACCGTAATAGGTACATTTTCAAACTAACTCGTTAAGCTCTTCAAAAACGAATCAACGTGTATAGGCTGATAAGCCGAAGTAGGGTCCGTAAATTCAATTTCTCTTTTCTATAAAGAGCTGCGTAACTCTTCCTTAAATAGAGTTAATCCCTAGTTTTTATTTTCCTATTTTTCTTGCTTAATGTCCATAATATTAGGGTCTACAATATACATTAAATCTTTTGGCAGAATAAGTAGATCACATATTATAATTATTTTCATGTTATCTTAAATATATTTTAAATTATTCCATAAAACTAATCTGTTCTAATGCTTATTAACCAAATGTATGTATTTCAGATATAACTTCATCACTCGCGTAAACTGAAAGTGCGGCTAAAGCTTTCAAATTATTCTATGAACTAGTTTTTAGTACTTCGCTCCATGTTTTGATTGTAAACTGGGAAAGGTACGTGCTAAATCTCGTTTCATTTTACCGGTTTTATTTCTTCCATGACGTATATTGGCATGAACTATTGACATAGAACAAAAGAATATATAACTATAACTAGTTACTGAAATAATTATGCCATAGTCGAGTGAGTATAGTAATATGAGAGTACTAAAAAAATTTCAAACTAGGAAACGATTATTGAAGAAATTGAGAGACTATCCATTACATATTCCATACAAATGAAGTATGCTGAAACATTCTTTTTACTTTTGATATCGTCGGTAACGACGAGGAGTAATTGAATAACATTGTTCAAATACTTTGAGTACAATAAAGTATCATATGTACGTATCTAAGCGATTAAATATTTTATTTACTTTTCTTAAGTATAGATTATAAGTCTGAACTTATTCTACATATTACGGAACTACATAAAGTAAGGAGCGTTATTTCTTACATTTTGTATAAAGGCAATGTTTATTTTTCATATTGTTTTAGATTCTACTTTATATCTTAAGTACAGTGGGACATAAAAAATAATGTTACTGGGCATGTCGGGGCAACAGCATTATTGTAAAATAACATTAGGAATACTTCAACTTGTTCCTTGTATGTATACATATAAATATATTATTTCGTACTATATGCTAGTGTATATATTTGCATACGTTAGTACATATGTATTAGAAAATACAAAATATATATGTGTCAATTAGTGTAATTACTTATTTAAATAAAAGCTTCTAAAATATATCGTTTATTATTTGTCATTTCAGTTATACTATCTTTGCTTAAAATTACTATACATATATATATTTACGAGTATTCTATTAAGCATTCAAACCTATACTACAATGTAGTTTATAGAAAAATATTATATTTAAACATAAATCAAATTTTCGAATATAAATATTTTTATTCCAACGTTGCATTATGAGTAAAATAAACAAAGTAATTTACTGGGACCCGTTGGAAAAAAGAATTAATTTATTGTATATTGTATGTATTTATGTTTTAACAAAGTAATAAAAGAATTGAATAGAAAAATCCGCTTCTATTATCATGGCGTATCACATTAAAACCTTCTAAACTTTTCTGAATGTTGGAAAAAGACTATATTTCCATTAAAATTAATGATTTGCCTCAAGTGTCCTAACTTTGTTTTAATTAATTGTTATAGTGCGTTTGAGGAAGGAAAAAAATAATATGAACGTTTCCCTTACATATTCTTCCTTAAAACAGTACAATTTTGATTAAAAATCGTGTAATGTCAAATTAAAAATAATAACATTTTAAAAGACATGTATCATTTAAATTTATATAGCTTACTTCATTGTAGTCACAAGGGATTACTTTTGTAACCATGAATCAAAAAAGTATGTTTACTTTTTGCATGATCAAGTAATTTAGCCTTAATTATATACAAATGCGAAGATTTTTTAAGTACTAGTTCAGTCACAATATTCATCTCAATATCATGATTTAAAATGAAATATAGTTTCGATATTATTTAAGTATTTTAAACCAAATATCAAACTTTATTTAAAATGTTAAATGCCTAATTTAGTGTTTTTTGTTAATAATAAGCTGTATTGTGTTTGACCTGTGTGTTAATAAATGTTATTTTTTGTATATTTATGTGAATGCCTTTTAAAGTCTAAAGTCCTGTACAATTCATATCCTCTTTAGATTTCCCAAAAGACCAAATTCTGTGGGAGTTTTAAAATTCTTGGAAAGCAAAAATAGACTTAGGCAGTTTATTTTTCAATGACGATTTTCAGCGGTAAAACGTATTAACACTCATATTTTGTTTTGGTATTTTGAAATAATCTTTATAGACTATGTATATTTTACATAAACAATAAATGATCTTAAACTCTAATTCCATCTATTATTATCTTCCGAACGACTTTCATCACGTTCCTTAATCAAAGAAATAAGCTTGACTCTCCTTAGCTTTATTGTGAAATCACATTTCCTTGGCATCTAAATTGAGGCTTTCTTTAACTCATCCACGTAAAACTTTTACTGCAGGTTTTGCAATCCCTTTGATACTCTTTATTGTATTTAGGATTATTTTCTTAAATCTCATAACTTTATTCCATTATAAGAATCAAAAGGCACAAAATTCTGCTGAAATATGAAACCCGAATGATTAAATCTGTTAAACGTTATACTGGGGTCATTTTATTACGGTTCATATTGCTTTTTATTACACGGGAAAATCTGATGAAACCTAAAAAGCGTTAAAAATTTGTTACTCATGTAGTACCCACGGATGACAGTGCATTAATGAGGTAACTCCGTTTTGCATAGATGTGAGTTTAAGTACAGGTTGAACTATAAATTAAAACAAACTCAAATTAATTACTCTTTGATATATAATGAATGAAAAAAATGTCATAAATATTATTTTTGGATAAGGTTAATTTAAATTTAGTTTTATATATAAACTAAAATTACATAAATATTAACTATCGATGAATAGTTTTTTTTTTTTTTTTGACAACGTTGAATGTATTATCGGAAATAACTTCATAACGATTAAGCATGTAATGAAAGTTCAAATATATTTTAAAATGTTATTTTCTTCTAAGTATGAAACTAAGCTTATTCAAAGAATTTACATTTAAATTTTGAGTCAAGCACTTAAAAATGTCTTTATAGAATGCAGGCATCCGATGAGATTTTCCTATGAGACATTTTTATTATAAGATAAAATTTTAAAATGTGATCAATAAAATGATAAAATGTATCTGAACAACTCGACATTACAGTACAGCATGCAAATAATATGCCAAAAATGTCTTTCTTGTTTAATACATAATCGAACTTTGTTGTTTATCTATACGAGAATATTAAATTGCAGTTCAAGATATGTAATAAAAAAATATTGTAGAATATACACATATATGTACAACATTATAAAATTGTCGAATTGCTAAATGTAGTTTCGACTTTCGACTCATGGACGCATATTAAAT